ACAGGGCTGGGTCCATTTCCACAGGTTGACTTGGTTCCTGGGAGGAGCTGTTAACTTTCACACTGGCTGAATCTTTGACTTTAGAAGTACACAGTATGTTTCGTTTTTAAGTGGCTGTGAGAGCACTGTTGTAAGGTGACTTCTCTAAAAGTGGTTTTGTCTTCTGTGACAGGTACAAGAAAAGGGAAGTTGAAAAAGTGTAAAACTACCTTCCATGGAGTACAACAAGAGTGTGGACCATTAAATAATACCTAAATTCATCTGAACTAGGGGGTCCATTGATGATCAGTTAAAATCAAACTGTGATACTGTTTGTGAGTAATTATAACACAATCCATATTCCCATAGGAAACTGTATCTATAATGCCCAGCAGTAAAGTTAATGTTCCCCTCACCTCATCTGTAGCGGGCAGGTGGTTGCAGAGCTACAGCACTAACCTTATAGAAGTTGTCTTTCTAGCAAACCACACTAATATACAAAGAATCCCAGGCTAAACTGAGGATAATCAAAAGCTTTATATCATGACATGAACCATTAGCAGAAATGCTTAATAATGTGAGCACCGATGTTGGTTGTAATAAAATCGTTCAGCTTAAAATTGACTTATTACTTGCACTTTACCTCTGGGCTTTACTTTACTGTACTTTATCAACACAGCTTCTTTTATTAGTGAGACGGTGCATTTTGCTCCAGGGGATTAAAGAAAAGTCCCCAACTACATAGCAGTGATACATAAAAAATACAAGGTCATACCAATGGAAAGTTTCACTGGGTTTCAGAGGGAAATGACAACTCTTTGATACCTGGCAACCAGTCTAAAGTCAAAACTGTGTCGTTATAATTTTCTTTAGGACTATGTACATCATAGATGATTAATGCTGTACCACTGCTCTATTAAAACCATTACTTTTTTCTTTCTATTTCTCCTTTTATAATTTATTCTGTTGTTGATAACCTACTTGCAGTGCAGTTTGCGATATTGATGCTTTCATGTTTTGCCATGTTTCAGTTTATATTTGAAAGACGAATAAATTACCATAAAAAACAACTCCAACATCAGTAACATCAATAAACATGTATCTTAGCACTGAACTGAACAAAATAAATTAGTCAACTGATTTATAATTGCTACTCTCTCACTACGGGAGCGGCCTAGGTACTGCTCAACAAAATAACAACTGTTTGCTGATTTGCCGTCACAGACTTAAAACTCTGTGTAAACAATGTAATGTAATACGTCTACCGTACATTGTATGGCCAGTACAGGTGATCACACTTCTTCTGTCCACCTATCCTTTAACTGTACATTGGACCAAAACGGGTGATGACATCATTTCCTGGGCTACCCTTTGACGAGGAAAACCGAGGCTCATGAGGGAGTGCAGACAACTGAACTCAAGTTTGGCCTGAAACAAACAAACCCAGTGTGAAAACAGTCTCAGCCTCTGGCAGGTGGTTTGGATATTTAAGCAACATGGTTCAAACTGGTTGAGGAATCTAAACTAAATGCCTCGGAGAAATGAGCCTTTGATGTTGAAGCAGAGGCTTGGACTGGCAAGTGGGAGATTTGGGTTTGTTTTCCACTCGGTTATACAACAAAAGAAAGGGAGTATTTTAAGATGCCGCCCTCCTCCGTCGCTTTGGACAGCTTTCGTTTACTGGCAAATGAGCATGGGGGTACAGACCCTCCTCTCTGCTTCACTGGGCAGTTTGTATAATGTTCTCATTGATTTCAGCCTTGGCATCACGGATGACACCTCCGCATTGCCCAGAGTGAAGAAGGATCTACCTCATTTGTCCCTATAGCTCACAATAAGCTGAGGATGTGTGTGTAGGCGTGTGTGAGGGAGAAAGACAAATGTAGAAAATGTAGGTAGTACGTTTGAGTGCATGTGTGCAGTATTTGTGTGTATGCTCACTGTATGTGTATGTGTGTATGCTTCCTACATGTCATAAAGGATGTTAAGATGGCAGATGAAGATTTCAGAACAAAGAGAGCAGCTTCATAGAGCTGCAGAGAACAACATGACTGGGGTGAAAACAAATGAAAACCCTCATAAGTCAACTTCTCTCCTCCAAAATGAGACAACTAGGACACGCAGACAAAGGGCGCATTGATATCGACAGTGACACACGGGTGGCAGCTGTACACATCATGTCATTCAGTCGTGGCTGCGGTGAAAGGGGACTTTGTCAGGAAAAGTCGAGTCTGGTGATGTGCTTTCATCCTTTGGGGAAATGTAGAGTAAAATAATGTAGGTCGTTGTCCTTGAAATAATAATGTAACTGATGCTACAAATTGTAAGCTACTCTTGGTTACTTTAAAAAGAATTGGAACAAGGGTTACACAAGCCGGGGAACAAAAGGCCAATGTTGGTGATCTGGATAGAGAAAGTAATTGTATTTTTTCCGTATCAAAAAAACTGTGCTGGTCGTTAACATGATCAACCTATTAACAATGAATCTGCCAACCGTTCCTGAAAGCACACCGTGCATTTTAAGATTGACTTCCTATCTCTTTACCTTTATTTCAGTACACATCAGTACACTTTCACCTTACTACATCGCAGTGAACATTTTGTCCTAGTCTAGTTTTTTTTTTTTTTGACAAAGTTACATTATAAAGTTATTGTCACACTATTCTAAACAGACATCTGTGTTGATGCATTTGTGGAAAATCAGACCCTAAAGAAGCACTGTATTGTACAGCAAGGTTTCTCATGCAAGAATCAACAAATTTACAGTATCCATGCTGTTTTTACTATCCAACAATGCAGCTTGCATGTTTTTCAGCAGCTAATTCTCAATCTCAAATGTCAGAGCACCAAAAAATGTCAAAAAATGTGACAGCACACTAAGGTTCACACTGACAGATTTCAGCAAGATTCCTATCTTTAAACCAGTGTTTGCACAGAAAGTGGAAAATCAGTCTCATAACATGGGATCCGCTTTGGAAAAATGTACATGTTTAAAAAAGTAGGCAAGGCGTGTAGTTTAATGGGCTAAAAAAAACACCATTATGGTCCTTCAAACAGCTCAGTGAATAAAGATGTATCACTGCTGTTTTTATCGAGCGAGAGTACATAGTGTGTTATTATGCTTTACACTCCTGTCCTCTTTACTTACATACTTTACAGGTTTAAAAGAAATGACGTTAGCCGTAATAGAATATGTAATTAAATTTGCCTCGCAGCAGTGGAAAACTTTGGCAAACTGAAGTGAAGATATCCTGCAGTCATTTGAAGCATGGAAACTGTGCACTGTACTCCACATTATATGAAGACATTTCTTTACTCAGTGACAGTCATATACCTGGTTTAAATACACAGTCCCGCAGAAAGTTATTGTCATTTGTGATGCCTGATGCAACCGTACAGCAACCCTGTGCCCCAGAGCCAACACTATAGCGAAGCTACTTTTCTGCACAACACTCACATCACCACAGGCCTCTCACAAAACACACACATTACGCCCACAGGCAGAGGAAACGTAATAATGCAAGTGTCTATGTGCATACTCTCAATACGAGCCTACAATTTAATTATATCCTCTGCAACATGGAGGATAATACAAAAATATTTATTTATCTTACCTCGGCATGCACTCTTCTCCAGAAGGTAATTTAAATTGTCATGTAAATAAATATCCCTATCATTAACTTTTATAACACAACAGGGGCTTGGCCATATCCCTGATATGGGAATGTGTTTTACATTTCTTGTTCTAGTTAACAAGCAGTTATATTCAGAATAAATAGAAGAATAAGTCTGTAGTTAGATGGCTGGCATGGCTCAGCAGACATAAAGCACCATCTATGGAGACTTCAACTTTACTGACAGAAAATCAAAGAAGAGAGATGTCACATTACTGCCAACCATGTCAAAAATGTCAATAAAATCTGCCAACGAGGTGCTGAAAATGTTCAGTTTTTCACTTGTGCCTCTACTACATATGCGTCTATTGATTTTGAACAGTTCAAATTTGTTACTGAAAATGGCCACCTCATTAAACTGTTACATAACACAGTGATAAGTAATATTCTACTCATGTTAGATGCAATTTTTTCGCAAAAGAACCACACCACAGGATGTACAGTGAAATGTAAAGTGACAAGCCAACACAATAAGAACAAAACATGCAATATATAAAGAGACAGTGGTATTTTTTACATCACATTCTTTATTTATACCTTATATAAATGTGATCATATCATGTTTAAGTGGGCAAAATTAATGCATTATGTTTTCAACTGAAAAACATAAGACATAAAAAACGGATGAAATGAAATTAAGAGACTGGGTCCAACACACAGGACAGTTGTGAAGAAGCTTTTAACAGATTCTGGGAATTGGATGAAAGAAAAAGTCAACAGAGGGAAGGACTGTCTGCCGCTGTTTTGTTGCTCCAAAAGTTTGTCTCATTAACAAAAAACTGTCTTTGTGGCGTCAGAAAACATGTTCGGTTTAATAGTTAATCAAAGCAGTAATATACAGCTGTGTTAGGAAGGCTCTGCTTGAGGCTCATATAACCCTTTCTGTTAGATTTCTGTGCTGTTCCCAAATCATCTAATCAGATGATGTTTACGCCCACCAGAAGTCATCAAGTTGTTACAAACTTATAATAGTTGAATGAGATCTGTGGCTCTGTGCTTTTCTTTACCAGGACATAACACACACACACACACACACACACACACACACACACACACACACACACACACACACACACACACACGAACACAAGCTGGCACTGACCAACCTTTTATGGACCTTTTTCTGACTGACCCCAGCCAAAACCTGAGTTCTTATCCTAAACCTAAACCTAAAACCTGTATTTTTAAGAGGTGCTGTTGCATTATTATGACTTTGTTTTAAAGATCATTTTTAGCATAAAATCTGAAAAAAAAATTCTAACTTTTCAGTTTTCAAAAACTGCCAGAAAATAATAACTTTAAAACCACCAGAAAGAAGCAGAGATAAAGATACATTAGCATGCCTACCTGTATCAGTGACATGTTACTGAGGTCCAGTCTGAACAGGTAGTTTCTGGATAGAGGAGAGAGGAAAAGGAGATGTGAGAAAATGTGTTTAATAATGCAAATTAGGTATCAGAGATGTGACAGGCTATTTTAGCTGCTGTCAACTTAAAGCAAAGCCGATTAGAGGCCATACTGTGACTGTCAATCAGTCTTAAACCATTGTTTTTAGTTTCACAAGTGGTAAGGCATTTGTGTACATGTGTTTTTAGGGTCAAACCAGGTGAAAGTTGAACTCATGTCAGCTCATAAGAACATGCATGCGCACACACACACACTGCTGTGGAATGACGTAATTGTGCGAAATTTATCCCTTCAGCCAAATCCAAAGCTTGACTTGGTCCAACAAGGCCTCAGCAGAGCACTTAAGAAGCATCATTATCCGAAAACCGCACTGTATAAGTGAGTCAGAAAGGGTATCACTTTCTCAGTAATGTGCTCTGTGGGGTGAAAAGCTGAGTGGATTTACAGTTTCTTACCTGGCACCCACAATAAGCTCATTCCTAGTCAGGTCAAGGGTGAGCTGGGAGTAGTCTCTCACGCCCGGATGGGAAAAACTGGAGATCCACGGACTGAGCGCTAAGGCAGAGAAGAAAGAAAGAAAGAGGTTAGGGAAAGCTGAATCATGACATAGTTCATGAGATAAAAGCGGTGACATTTACAGACAATACTCATAAAACACAGCATAGTTTACTAATGCACACAAAAGCCTTTTACATTTGGTATTTTATGTATAAGAGTGATGTATCTTTATGTGGCAAATACTGGTGAAAGGATTAACTGATCAACAGAATTTTTTTCCCCCTTTTGAAATCAAATATTTTAAAAAATATCAATACACTTATTGATAATAAAGAAAAATGATTAGTTGTGGCTGTAGTGGTAAAAATGAGCAGTGCAGGGAAAGCTTCCTGTGCTGCGACGGTGTCTCCTGCAGAGAGGGACAAAGCTGTCCAGGCCACATCAGGCGCAACAATCCTGATTCAACCTGACATTGGGACAAACACAGCTCTGTGTGGTGTAGGAGGCTGAAACCTCTGCGCTGTTTGAAATTGGCTGTTACAAATCAAAGTTTCAAAGTTGCAGAGCAGAGGGGCCACCTGGTGAGGCTTTTAATGTCAAGAACTGCAGGAAGAGAGCATTTTCTCTTCAATCTTTGTGTGACCCAAAGTTCAGACCTTTAAACTTTTAAATTTCACCACGTGGGAGGTTTGCTCAGCATAAAGGGATTTACCATATTTCCCATGCTGTACACAGTATCTCAGTGGTTGGTGGTAATTCAGATTCCCTTAACCAATTTGAAAAGCTGTGTAAAATAGCTTTTAGCTATTTCCACAAAGCTTTGAGAAAGAAGAACGAAATGGCTGTAAATGATTATTTGAAAACTTTGCATGTCTGTAAATTAATATAAACATTGTGAAAGTGTTCACTTCGTAGTCTAGTTATATATCTAAATCCATTGTATGCTAAAACTAGCAAGTGAAACCAAAGGAAAAAAGTACTGTAATCATGGGCGGAACACTATGGCCACACTGCTGATAACTCTATTCATTAGGGCAGCAAGCATCAAACATTTAAAACCTTAAACCTTCTTTTTCTTTTTCAAAGTAGCCTGTAGAAATTCGAGGCTATGGGTGCCAGAAAAAGTGTTGGAAAAAGTCACAGTGAACAGTGAAACAACTCTTCATCATGCAAAAGGACGGGTTTTGATAAGATTGATGAGGCCCATATGGCTCTGTCATCTGCAAACATAACTACAGATATGAGTGATAAAAAGACAGAAGGCTGTAGCTACAGTACAGTATGGTGCTCTTGATTTACGATACGATATACACATATACATAGGAAGAGAAATACACAGAAACACACACACACTGTAATTAAGGGTGCTTGTATTGACAGGGGACTTCAGTGAAATTGAGAATTACTTGCGACAATCTGTTTTTTCCAGATGCTGATTAGGAACGGGTATTTTTCACTGAGCTGCTGTCAGACTGAACTTGACTCAAGGTTTTGTAATTATGAGATGAAAACAGGGCTCAACGAGTCATCATTAATATAATAAAGTTAATATTTAAAACATTGTGATATTTTTAGAGTTGCTATACATGTACATATTATTTGAATTTGAAGGATAACACCTCTGTTATTCTATGTTTTTCTAATTGTCAACAAATCCTATAAAACAGACCAAACTCCAAAAATCTGTTTAGGTTCCTACTGAGGACATAAATCTTTAAAAACTAGTAAAACTTTGTTTTTTGAGTACATTTGAGTGAGTTCTGGTGGTAGACAACCCCCCAAATCCTGTAAGAAGGCCAACTGTTGCATGTTTTTGTACCAAAACAAACATTGGACAGCAACCAGCTGCTTGCACAGCTTATATGCAGTGCAATCTGCGCTGAGAAGTCCAAAAAGAAGGATAAAAACGAGTGGGTGAGAGATTGGATGGAGAGGAGTAATAATCGTAATAATCAACGTAACAGTTAACGTAACGTGTGTCCCTACCTTAACTATGTGCAATTTTTTTCTAAAACTAGTTATATTACTCAGACACTGGGAGGAGCTTAACAAAAGGCAACTAAAAACGTATGTATAAATATAATGTAAACCACAAATAAAGGCATTGTTTTAATTAACAGAGTTACAATTTTAATCATGTTTGCAATATCAAAACTTTCCAACGAACAATTCAGCCCTTAATAGAACTGTAACCTATGTACTATACGTAGTGCACAACTGCATAGAAAAGAGAAAGTCATACCACTGCATGCACTGCCTGAAGCAAGAAAATGCTACAGGCTTAATTATATCATCAACAGCTCTAGTCTGACTGAGAACATAACACGAGAAACATGAATTACAATGATTATTATCAAGTAGGCAATTCAGAGAAGTAATGTAACCTTTAAAAATTAATAATAGACTGTAAGACATTTTTATATTTATGTACTTATGTACACACAGGATTAAATCACTGATAACCTATAATAAATAAATCACATTACACTCGACGTCCTAGTGTAATTCTAATACAACACGAACAATGCAAGAGGTCATCTCTTACTCTCTCTATAAATATTTATATTACATATATACACTAAGATTTTTTCCCTTTTGCACATTCAAGCGTGCATCTATGGGTTGACTATCGTTGACATGCAGGGTGGGTGGAGAAACCATACAAGGCCGGTGCGAGGAGGCGAGCGGGACCATCTGTACATCACTCTGATTAATGGCTGCAGAGGCCGAAGCTGGAGGAGCAGCCGGGAGCAGCTGGGAGTGTAGGCCATCTTTAGTCTCACAATCTTATATAAACAGACCTGAAGTTGATTTAAAGAATCCGACACAAGCTCTGGTTTGCACAGAGCTGCAGCATGTGTGAACAGAGCCTGTATGTGTGCACATAGTGTCTACTGTAAATGGGAACAAATGAGATTATTAAAATTCTCTAAAAACTGACTGCATTACCATGTACAGCAACATCTCATTAACGTTGAAAAGATTATTGACACACAGACACCAAGAGTGTGTTGAAGACATAATTGCTGTGCAGTTTCAGTATCATGAAAATTCAACTTTCACATGAAACTATTAGACAATCAGAGCTTTCCAGTTACAGTACATGTTTTCCTGCTGAATATTTCCCATGCAATGCTATGTGCATGAACTCTATCCACATTATGACCCAGAAGGCTTTTTCTAACAGAGTCATACTATCACCACATTCCAGATGCTGCTGCCCAGCTGAGGTGAGCCTCAGTCTGATATTGATTAAAGACAGTGTTTATCAGATGTCTGTAATGTCTAAAACCCCCTCCTTCCACACCTGTCTGTCAGATCTAAATCATTTTTTGTTTGTTTGGTTTTCCATTCCCACTTCACTTCAGTGATTGGCCAGGTAAGAGAGCAGTGTTTTAACTTATCTCTTTTTTTATCCTACACAGCTACTTCCATCATTTTCATGAATGAATACCATCCAGGAAAGATGGTCTGAAAGCATGTATAATAGTAGTATAATTGGACAAAATGTACTAGATCCTAGTTCATTTGAACTGCAGCCTTAACTTACATTAAGCTCATAAAACTAAAATTCTACCATCTGCCTTTAGGATCAACAGGGTTACTGTAAAAGTTATAAACATTTAAACAAAACAACATTTTTGGGAAACAAGGGGAAAAGAGCGGACTAATCAAAAAGCTTTGTCATGGGTGCTCCATTAATACTGTATGTGTTAGATGTGTAAGTACACATGATGCCTGAAGGTTTGTTTTTCTCCCTCCCCTCCAAAGTCGTGTCATGTCTCCTAAGGAGAAGCTAGAGGTGAAAGCAAAGAGAGGTGGAGAGATTATAAAACAGGAGAAATATTGTGGCAAAACAGAGAACAGAGTCAGGACTGTTGCTCATAAAAAGTAGAAGACAACCTGAGGCTTATCTCTTCAGAGTGTAAGGGTAAAATACAGCACACATCAAACAAAACCTAAACCCCGCCCCCCCGACCTTATCTACTAAATATATTCTGGAAAACATCCAGAAATAGAAAATGATGTCATTTAGACAAATGACAGACTGTTAAAGTGACTTATTCTCCCCATAAAATAAGACCATTAAAACAGAGCATATGACATGAACCATAAAATAAGAAAGTGCACTGAAGAGATAGATAACAAGAGAATTATTCCCACAGAAGCATAATGCACCTAACAGTAAAAACAGGAGCTGTTAGCGTTCAGTTCAGAGAGTTTAATGTGGAGCATGAATCACTTCGATCCGAACTGAGAAGCATTACGCTCATATAAACATTTCCCCACATCATGAATATCTCTTCAAAAGCTTGTAAAAAAAAAACTAGATTCAGAAGCATGCAGGAGAGATCCTGAATCCTGAGCTTGTTTACTCCCTTAGGAAGGCCTTCCTGACAGTAAGGGGTCTTTCATTGACTGACATTTATCCTCCTGCTTACAAGTGGTTTTATATGCGCTGCTCACTTGTTCCCCTCATAACTGTCTGGCCGGGTGGTAAGGCAAAGAAGGGACAATAAAGCAGGATGAATATGAAAGCCCCCTCCCTCATGGTTGACTCGTGGGCCCCAAGCCGGACTTGATGAACGATTATTGCGCTCTTTTTTCCCCCCTCTGCAATCGGCAGGCAGACGGATTAATGCATTAGCCAGTGGCTGCCAGAGGGATGAGGAGACGGATGGGGACAGTGGCTGAGACATTCGTCTGACACAGACATAAATCATAACCTTTCTATCTCCTTCCATCTAACAGTTTTTAAACATTCGGCTTCTTCCCACACAACCAGCATGTGGGCAGAGTGAAGTGGCACCCCGACTGATCTGAGTCGCTATTAGACCAAGTCTGGATGGAGAGCAGTCAAAGCTGGAAAATGCCAAAATATTATGGAGTTGAGGGAATGAAAGCACAACACATTGTGGATCCAAAAAAGCCACAACACACACACACACACACACACACACACACACGGACACACAGAAAACCAGAGAGCTCCAACGCAATCTGATCCGTTTATCGCTTAAAACCTGATGGAATGTGAGATTCCCTCAAGTTGGGCT